TGGGAGGGGAAGGCTGCCGGCTGCCTGGGCTCTCGGCTTTGTTTCCAGCCATTTGCCAGGCTCCTTTCCCTGCGCTCGTCTCTCCTATTCGTTCCTTTGTGCCTGCAACTGCTTTGAAGCGCATCTGCGGCCGGTCTAGCAGCATCCCTCTCCTCCAGGGATGCCCGTTGCTGGGTCCCTGTGGGGATTTGGCATCTTTATCGCTGGCCTGGGCTTTGTCAGCCCTTCCCTGCGTCCTCCTAGGGCCATGGTGGGATGGAAGGGGCACAGCCCAGCCCTTTGCAGAGATGCAGCTGCAGCTACGGTTGCTTTTGCTGAATAAGCCTCCGGCTGGAAGCAGCGTTGACGTCAGGCCATGGAAATACCTGTACGAGGGCCTGGAGCCAGCTTGGCACGGCCCCTGGCTCTGAGGCTGGGAGGAGGGATGCTCCCTTCCCACCCCGAGAAGATGCACTCACCTCTGGCCCGCGCCAGCTGCTTTGCCCAGGCACGGCGGGTAATTAAGGGATGGAGCCGGGTTGTTTCCAGGGTGGGGCTGCCGCAGGGAGCAGACTGCCTCGGCAACCCCCTCGGGTGCTTCCCTGCTCCTGCCCTCTGATTTTCCCCGGCTCTGGTGGTGTCCCTCGTCAGCGTGGGCTGCGCCCCCTCCACGGTGCAAATCCACCCTGCAGCAGCATCCTGCAGCTGGCCATGTACCTGGCCGTGCTGCCAGCTCGCCTCCGTGGGGGCATTTCCCCCAGGGGAGAGGTTTATTACCAGTGGCACCTGGTGCCCACCCACAGCGAGGCGGGTAAGCCAGGGCAGGCAACCCCCAGCCACGTGTGTTTGGGCAGAGGCCAGATTCCTGCGGCCAAATGCCCTTAGCTCTGCCGTTCCTGGGGGGTGCTGCACAGCTGGTTTAAATTTGGCGGGGTCGAGGGGAGCATCTTGCCACGGGCTGAGTGCGTAGGTGCAGGATCCAGCAAGCAGGGCGGGACCTGCCTGCGCTCTGTGTGATGCTGAGAGGATGCGGGTGCTGACCCGTCCCTTCCCAGCGTGGCTCAGCATGGCAGGCATGGCATTTGGTGGCGGAGCCTGGGTGTGGTGTGACATCGAGCCAAGCAAAGCCGGTGCTGGAGCCCTGTGCCATCCTGCGCTCCGTGCCCCAGGCTGCTCTTGCACTGCTGGTGTGGGGTGCTCCCCCAGAGTCAGGGGGTGCAGAGCGGGGCTCCCCCCAGAAGCTTCCTGGAGGTCTCTGCTGCGGTGGGAGGATGTGGCCAGAGACTTCTCCTCTCGAGCTGATGCAATGGTGGAGCCAATGTGGCTAGGTGACAGGAAATCTGGGCACCGGTTCTTTCCCTCCACAGTGCGGCCACAGGCGGGATGTCGCTCCCCTGGAAATGGGCTGGGGTGGCTCCAAGCTGCTTCCGCCGCTCAGCATGAACAATGCTGCCTGGAAAGCTGTGCTGGCCCCCAAGAGCCTTATTTGCAACCAGAGGATGCCTGACCAACCTCTGCGTAGCATTTCCACCCACGGACAAGGGGCAGCCCCCGTGGTTCCCGGGCTGTCCCTCTGCCCTAGGAACAGGATGGTGCCCTGGGCCACCTCCTCCCCGCTCCTGTCCAGTCCCCTGCTGTGGGTGCCAGCGAGGTCCCTCTTGTTCTGCGTGGCGGGAGGATGCCTTGGCGGGGAGTGCATTCGTCAGGGAGCAGCAGGGATTTACAGCTGCCTGAAATATTATGGAGGGGGAGGACGCTGGGGGGGGAACTCATCTTGCGGGGGCAGGAAGGAGCTGGTGTGGGCTGTGGCCAGCTGTAATTGCAATGGCCTCCAGAAAACATCCGCCGGCAGTTTCCTCCTTGTTTTGTATCCAGGGCCGCAACGGCGCTGGGCCGGGGTGGCGGGGGGAGCTGGGGGTGACGCAACTGAAGCGCAGCCAGCCCTGGCTGTGCAATCGCTGTGACAAAGCCGAGCCGCTCTTTGGCCCCGAGCCCCTGGCTCAGCTTTCAGCCCATCACGCTCCGTTTCCCTCCCTGGTTGCCCCGCTGGTTGCCCTGGGAAGGCACCCGATCCTGCTGGGGAGGGCTGGGGGGATGCAGAGTTCCTGCAGCAGCTCCAAGGAAGTGGGGTGCAGGGCTCTCTATGTCCCCCTCGCTTTTAGGGAGGGCTGGGGGGTGTGTTCCTTGGGACTGGTGCTCTGTCCCTGGGGACGACCGAGGGCTGCAGAGGAAGGGGAGGGCAGGGTCGGGCCCTGGCCCCTTCCCTGTGTGCTGCCTGCTGCGAGGGGCTGGGGAAGCAGGAGCCCTCCTGAGCCCCTGGGCTTGGGGGCCAGCAGGGCTCAGCCCCGGCAGCTTTGAGCAGGCAGGCACAGCCCCCCGGCTGTGGCGGGGCACCCCTTCAGCCTGCCCTCTGCTCCCGCCTGGGGTTTGGTCCAACGGCCTGGACTCGTGCGTGGCATCGCCGGGAGGTTGGTTGGGAGCTGCTTCCAGCCGATGCTGGTCCCTCAAGCCCGTCCTCTGTGTGCTTGCTTGGGGATGCTCTGGGAGCTCTCCCCTGCACCCCGGGCTCTGGCTCTGCCCCATTGCCCTGCCCTCCTCTGCCACCGGCCACCCTGCTTTGCACTGGGGCTGATTTTTCGGGTGGTGATGGCGGTTGTTTTGGCTTATCTTGGCCCTGTGGTGCAGCTGTTAACCTGGGGAGGAGGGTGGCTCTGGAAGCCAGGACCTGCCCTTGGGGAGCTCTTGACCCCCATCTTGACCTGATGCAAACAGGTGACATTTGCTGAGGTCCCCCGGGGGAAAAAGGGCTGGGAAACCCGCCGTCGCGAAGGAGGTCGTCTTGTAGAGCAGGGCTGGGCTCCGGTTGCACTTTTATTTGCTTGTTAAATATTTTATTTGGCTCTTCTGATTTAGTTTTACGGTGGCTTTAACAGGATCACGCTGTTTTCCAGCTGTCTCTGCACATGTGCGAGGGAGAGGGAGGGTGAGTGGGAATCGGTGGGGGGCTCGGGGCAGCGCCCGGCCCCCCAGGAGCTGGGAGGGAGGGGGGATGGCACGAGGCCGGGGATGCAGGGCGAGGGCTGGCAGCCCGTGCCACCTCCCGGGGTGCTTCTGGAGATGTACAGCTCGGGGCTAGCCAGAGGAGATGCATTTGTGTAACCTGTCTGAAAGCATTTTCCTTCCCTGAATTTGCCCACTGATGCTTTGAAATTATTTTTGGTGCCGGCAGTGAGTCGCTCCGCAGGTTCGGGGCACTCTGGGGTGACGCAGGGACCGTGCCCACGTACCCATCTGCAGGTGGCACCTGCTGCCGGGCTGGGGGCGAGGGGGAAGCACCCACGTGCCCAAGAGATGGGTGTTTTCCAGAGCCAAGCATCCATCCATGGTGACACTGGCGACTGTCTGCTGTCCCATCCTCCCGGCAGGCGGGTGTCCTGGGAGCAGCGCCGGGGGCAGCTCCGGCCGAGGGCTGGAACCATGGCTGAGGCTCCCCAGGGAGCGCTGGGGAGCTGGGGAGGCTGGGCGCATGAGGGGGAAGCGTGACAAAATTGGTGGCGTGAGGTGGGCATGGTAACACCAAATATTTGAATGGGAGCAGGGTCATTCTGGATATTGCGGCGGGTAAAAATAGACGCAGGGAGTCGGAAGGCAAACGCTACCATTGCTGGACTGGCGCGTGGGAAAGGGTGTCCATGACGTGCCAGAGCTGGGGCTGTCAGAGGCTGGGGGCCTGTCCCCTCCTTCTGAATGGCCCTGGGGGCCCTGGGGGTGCAGCGGAGCTGTCCCTGCAGCGTGGCTGATGTGCACAGTGCACCGATGAGCAGCCCCCCTGGAGCGCAGCCCCCCGTGGTGCCTGGAGCCCGGCTTCCCCGGGGGCTTCAGCAGGTGCTGGGCAGTGGCTCACCCCTCTCTCGTGTTCCCTGCAGCCGAGAAGGTGTCCTCCCTGGGCAAGGACTGGCACAAGTTCTGCCTGAAGTGTGAGCGCTGCAACAAGACCCTGACCCCAGCTGGGCACGCCGAGGTAAGAGTGGCTGGGGCGGACGGCGTGGGGGAGC